TGTGAACCTACCTCGGAAGACTCACGGTCAACCGAGAGTCAAACTTTCTAAATTTGGTCAACCGGGCCCGCGGGCCCCACGACCTCCATTTTTCGATCCGAACATCCCTAAGGGTTCCACAAGGTTTAATAAACCTATCCTTCAAGTTTGGTCCGAATCGGACAGTCGGATCACTCACGATCGCACGATCGGACGATTATCGTAAAAATACAAACTTTAACTTATTGAATCGGAACATCCGGGGCTCCGATTCACGATCCGTAAAATCCTACACAATCCTAGGAACGCCTAGATTAACATATATTAAAATGGAAGCGATCCAACGGTTCTAACATATCGAACCCGGAATTCACACAATATGTAAAATCCGTTCGGGGTTCAAACGTTATCCGAATTGAGTTCCGTAAATTCCTACGCGCTCATGACAACCAGGAGATCATTTTAGGATAGAAATGTCTCTCTGCTACAGTGCCACGCCACACGCGCCGACAGCACGTGGGTGTCCAAAGCGATAACCACTCGCCGGAAAAACTTAACATCTTGACTCCAAACTCCTACTCTAGGTAATATACCTAATTTGGAGTCACTTTTGTTCTTGGGCTAAGGCCAAAAAGTGGCCGGAAGTGGCCGGAAATTCTAACTTAAAACCGGCAGAATTTAAATTCACGAAACGGGCTACAAACTCTCAACATTTCTGGAATCCTATCTCATAGGCAGCTAGAGCACGAAAAGTAGTCCAAAAACCATACCTCACTCGTCCAATTTGGTGGAGAAATGAGGGAGAACGAGCGACCCAAAGTTTCTGAAATTTCCGCCCGTTTTTCTGCAATTTCCGGCGACTGACGACGGTGGTGATGGCTGAGATGGGGCAAGGCTGGAAGAGGAACTCACGGCGGTCCTATTGGGACCGGTACCGCCCCACATGGCGGCCGGACGTGACGACGGTGGCTTGGAGAAGCCACCGGCTGTGCAGAAAAATGAAAGGGGGAGGGGCTGCTCGCGGAGAGAGAGAGAGAGAGAGGGGGAGAGAAATTCTGGTTTTAAAACCAGTTTTCCCCAAAATTACAAATTGCCCCTCGAAGTATTTAGATCGTACTTTCCTCGTTAAAACTCCGATCTGAGCCCACTACGTGTCTACGGACTCGTTTCGACGTGCTCTACGCACTGGTACAATCGAAATTCTCAAATTCCTTCCTGAACTTAAAATGACCTTTTTGCCCCTTTTTAATATTAAATAATATTTTAAATTTTCAAAAACTTTAATTAATTCAAATCATTTTATTTTATTGTTTACTCCAATTTATTTCCTCTTACTTTAATTATTTTACTTCTTTTTAGGACCGGGATGTTACATCTAATAGTTCCATCTACCCCCCTTATAAAAATTTCGTCCTCGAAATTTACCTACCTGTCAATAGAGGAGATAGGGATACTGGGCCCGCATTTGTGCATCGGGCTCCCAAGTAACTTCTTCAACAGTTTAATCTAACGGGGACTTAACATCCCACATTTCCAGAATCTCATCATTTTCCCAATAATAAATTCCAAGACTACCCGCTCACCAACTACAATTTCAACATACTTGGGCTAACTATTCGTGTAACCTTTCTTTCAGTGTTGTGTCACATGAACTTTGCAACACCATTCTGTATATGGTTAGGTAAGAGCTCACTGGGTCTAGTACTTGCAACTTTTTGGAATTGATGATGAAGCTACGATCAAGGCCTACTCAACTTAAGAGATTCCAATATCTAAGGATTTCTTAAGGCCCAACATAGATTATCAATACAACTCAACCACCCATTTCATCTGCTACAGAACATGGGCCTTTGCAAGAAAAGTATATAGCGTATTTGGCATTTCCGACAACTTACTGTAACTCCTTCACATTGCTCGTAGCTTTTGAATACTTTAGTATCAAAAACTCTCTGGAGTCAAGAGAAGTCGCAATCATGTTGTCAGCCAATTCAAAAGCCCTGATTAAGCAAACAGAAAAAGAGAAGTCTCCTTCTCCTGCTAATTAATTCAAATCATTTTATTTTATTGTTTACTCCAATTTATTTCCTCTTACTTTAATTATTTTACTTCTTTTTAGGACCGGGATGTTACATCTAATAGTTCCCCGCTACCTAGTCACGCGCCTTCTCCTCATTCTTCATCCATACTGTCTTCTCCAACAACAACCTCACCTCACCTTGTTTCTCAATCCCCTCCTTTATCGCAGTCGCCACCTTTGACACCATTGTCCCCAGTCTCTCTCCCCAATCCCGTAAATCCATCCTTACCCCCAGAATCTCCGCAGTCTTCTCCTATTGCATCTCCTGGTTTTCTACAGTTAGTTAAGACACCCTCGCATCCGATGCTTACCCGTTTTAAAACAGGTACTTGTAAACCCAATCCCCGGTATGCATTGGTCTCTTTTTCGCAGGACTTGGATCGTGAGCCATCTAATTTTTGTGAAGCAAATCAATCTCCTTCTTGGCGCTCCGCAATGGCTACTGAAATTCATGCACTTCAGAAAGCATGCACATGGGATCTTGTTCCTTCTTCTCAGGCTACACATATTCTTCCTTGTAAGTGGGTATATCGTATCAAGCGTAAATCTGATGGATCCATTGAACGTTTTAAAGCTCGTCTAGTTGCAAATGGCTTTTTCCAACAAGATGGTATTGATTATACAGAAACCTTTAGTCCAGTGGTCAAGCATGTCACCATCCGAATTGTTCTCTCACTTGCTATCTCTCTTGGTTGGTCTATTCGTCAATTAGACGTTCAAAATGCCTTTCTTCATGGGCATCTTACTGAGGAAGTCTATATGCGTCAACCCCAAGGTTTCGAAGATCCTACCAGACCTCACCATGTTTGCCAACTTCGTAAATCTCTCTATGGCCTTAAGCAAGCCCCTCGAGCATGGTTCCAAAGGTTCTCTGAGTATCTCCTTCAGTTGGGGTTTGTTGGTTCTAAGGCAGATCATTCTCTTTTTATCTATAATACTGATGGTGTCTATCTTCTCTTGCTTATATATGTGGACGATATTTTAATTACAGGGAATCAAGATTGTAAGATTCAGTCTCTTATTACAAGTCTTGGTAAGGCATTTGCAATGAAGGATCTCGGGGCCCTTAAGTATTTTTTGGGCATTGAAGCTACTCGCACGGCTACTGGTCTCTATTTATCACAACATAAGTACACATGTGATCTTCTTGTTCGTGCACACATGCAGGATTCTAAACCGTGCGCCACTCCAGTTGGCTCTGGCTCTCAACTTAGTGCTACAGATAGTGTACCTTTATCTGATCCTCGTGAATATCGCAGTGTTGTTGGGGCTTTGCAATATTTAACGGTTACTCGTCCCGACATCACATATGCCGTTAATCAGGTTTGTCAACATATGCATCAGCCCACTTTGGTGCATTGGATTGCAGTTAAGCGAATCTTGCGTTATTTAAAAGGATCTCCAAGTGATGGGTTATTTTTTACGCCTGGTTCCACTTCCTTAGTCGCCTTTTCTGATTCTGACTATGCCGGCGACCCTGATAGTCGTTGGTCTACAGGAGGTTTCTGTCTATTTTTAGGTCCTAACTTGATATCTTGGAGCTCTAAGAAGCAACGGACAGTGGCTCGATCTAGTACTGAGTCTGAATATCGACAAATGGCCATTACAACAACTGAGATTGTTTGGGTACGGCAATTACTTCTTGAGCTTTCGATTCCTCAGCCTACTCCACCTGTCTTATGGTGTGACAATACTAGCTCCATTGCGTTGGCATCTAATCCTGTATTTCATGCTCGCACCAAGCATGTGTTAGAAATGTGCCCTAAGAGCCAATACATTTGATGTGATCTCCTTAGAATACATTTCGTATATGATATATAAAGGGCAAATTTATTTTGTTATCTTTTACATCGTGTAAAGAAACAAATGTCCAAGGTATGCTAAATAAGAGATAAAGTAATCTAAAGAAGATTAGATTCGGGAGACCTTTAATCTCTAACCGTAGCATCCCAAAATGTTCCTAATCATAGGTTATCAAATGGGCATTGATAAACCGTCAAGATTAGCACATATTATGTATGCTCAATTGGGAGGATGGTTAGTCTCAAACCATTTGTGTAGTTGACACTAATACAAGTATGTGGGTGCTCATTAGTGAATGAGTACACTGAACGCGATCAACCGTAGTTCTCGTATGGAGTATTTATCTATATGTCAAACGAGAACTCATAGTTGCAATAATGCAAATTAGTCCTTAGACCTGAGGCATCATGGTTGTCCTGTGATGCGTTATTGATCTTTGATAGCTCTTAAAGGCAAGCCGTAAAAGATTTGTCTTAAGTGTTGTTGGGATCTCTTAATTCATCATAGGGGCATGTGAATGTACAATAAGGAATCTCTACTTTCGATAAAGAAGGAGAATGTTTCAAGATGTGATTCAGTAAATCTTTGGCCAAAGTATTTTGAGCTTGATTTAGAAAGTTGTTCTTAATCACGTTCTTTTGAATCACATGAGGTTATAAATCATATTAGGGGTTTGACATAATCAATCCGTACCCTAATAATATGATTTGAAACATTGTATAAGAGAAAGACCATATTGCATTGCAATTCCAACTAAATAGGTTCTTTATCTATTCTGGTTAGCTTGGGTAGCCTTGATATATTGCTAGATGTCACTCTTGGCTTGTGGAAGTCCTAGGATTGATTGTGATCAATCCAAATAAAGGAA